CATTCAGATGGTAGCAACAGCACCTGTTCTGCTATGGTTGAAATGTGGTTGAAAGCAGTATTCAGGGAGTGAACTCTGTGAAGTTTCTGTGTTGGGATGTTTGCACTCAAAAAATGAATAAGGTGAATAAGCTCTGTCTTGTATAAACTTTATTTTCAGATATTTTATTGCTATGAGTGTTGCAGAGCAATCTCAATTTTTTTTTATTTATTAAATACAGTGGATAGGCTTGCACTTTTGTGTGGGAAAATGTCCTTCTTGAAGTGAAAGCAACTGCAGATTTGAAACTTGATCTTAGAATACTTTATAGAATTATTAGAATACTTCTTAGAATACTCAGAGTCAGAACAACCGTGTGCTCTCAGTACTGCTGCTCTGTACGGGAATATTTTTACTTTACACTTCATCTCAGCATTATTTCATTTTACCCCTTGCATGATTAGAGCAAATACTTAAGCAGAACATAAACTGTAACAAAGCTAGAGAAAGTACCTATTTTATATTGAATTTTGTTTCTCCAAGTAAAGGATGTTTTTTTTTGTAAGAAGCACAATGACAGATGCTAGATTACATTGCCTGGGAAAAGTCTGACACAAGCAGCATACCTAGAAGCACCTGAATATGCAGACACATTTGGCTGTGGATTATTAATGAATCTGTGGATTGCTGGTTAGTGCATTAGCATTTAATGCCTTGAGGGAACAATTCTGTTGAAAGGCTCTGGACCATAGTTTGCACTGATGCCTGCAGAGGCTCCAGCTTACGAAGATATTCAAATGATTGCCTCATCTCTCAAACCCATTCTTAAATTATGTCAGCTTTACTTAACTGATCACACTGTGTGGAAAGGGTAAGTGGTACTAAAACGTATCGCTATGAAAACGTCAATAACGGATAACTCACTGCACTCAAGTGTTAACACCCAAGGCGATCACGAAAAGCCCAGGCTCTGGAAAACACTAGTTCTATAATACATTGCTGCCATGCCTTCCCCAGTGCATTAGAGAGCGCATGGACGACAAGATGTACTGTCCTTGAATTTCCGCTGTGTTAATTATGGAACAGATGTGAACTTGTTTTAGGTGGATTGGGTCGTTTTCGTACAGAATCAGAAAATAGCTTTTATCTGCCACGACCCAGGTCCCTCAGGCTGCGGGGTGGCAGTGTGTGGTCGGCACTGTCCTCTTCCGAGGGTTGGATCACTGGCCCAACACCTGCCCGTAGCGCCAGGCATCCAAAGCTGTGGCCACAGCGCCCTCTGCTGGGGGCAGTCTGGATTGCTAGGTAGAATTTTCTATCCGCATAGTTTTGGGTTGCAGATGCTTTTTTCATGGTTACTCCAGTAACCATAATCATAGGAGTTACATGGCTATGGAAATATTATTAACCCATTCTTTTAACTCTTATAATGTTGATGTAAAGTTGCATTATTTTTTATTAAGCGTATGAATCATAAAAAGGGTGAGACTATGGGAGGTTGAAACCGTGAAAAAAGGACAGTAGCTCATGTCATTAGCTCCCCACCCCAGGCGCAGCTGGATACTCCTCCCAGTTCATTGATTCACTCCAGGAATGAGGTTAGTTTTTACTTTGCATCCTCTTAGTCGAGGACCCATTTTGAGCCATTTTCGTGCGTGTGGAAGCCATTTGAAATAAACGAAATATCCGATATAAACCATCCCCCTGAACAAACGTTTGAGGTTGCACTACATAGCACTTCTCACCTCTAGCAAATGAAACTCGGTTTAATTGAATGGGTGTCAATGAACCAGTTTCTCGTGGATCTAAGCTCTTAGCTCTCATCACAGCAGAGAAAACAGCTTAATATTCAGGGGTCACCCGCAGAGCTAATGAGAGCTGCAAGCGGAAACAGTGCTAAACAGACTCACTGAGCTCTCTCATTCACAGCAGGGGGGTTGTTTTCTTAAAGCTTTGCCGATTTAAAAAAACTGAACAATGAGCTGAAATTTATAGAATTTAAAAGAGGCATCAAAAGATTGGTGGGCGATAGAAATTGAAAGAGCTCGTGAAATGTGGTCTGAAACCACTTTAAAAGGCAATATGATTAAATATTTGCCGTCGGTCAGTTAACCATGCCTGAGTTTTAAGCAGTGACGCTCCTGTACTGGCTGGATGTCGGTGCCTTTGCAGAAAATGTTCCCTGTGGAGAGGATTAATAGCAACAGGGTGTCAAAAAAGGCAGAGCAGAGACAATCCGGTGTTCTTTAAAAGCACCACAGTTTACTGGTTACAACCTCAGTAGTCAACACATTGAACTATACAGGCCTGTTATAAAGTAGGATTTAGTTATCCTAATAACGCCGCGCTGGGGACTGTTGCTCTTTGATTAACAACCGGCTAGGGAAAGGACACTGTGATATTCGGGAAGCAAGTTGTTTACATGCTGCAAATCTCCAGGTGCTGTCTGAAAAGATTCAGAATCTGAATTCAGAAAGGTACCCTTGTACCATTATGTTTGTCTTTTCTGAATTACATCCAGGCTTCGTATAACGCAGTTGATACTCTGCGTTTTCACTAGGGCAAGTGGAAATTCTGGTATGTAAACACATTGTCTAGCTGAATAGTGATCGTCTCATTCAGTGCTCATTACCCTGAAAACACTCCTCAAATACAGTTCTGCTAATTGCAATATTGAAGGTCCAGAAATTACCTCTGTTGAGAAAGAAAATAGGAAATTGGGTCCATATAGTTTCCTTGGTCTATTCCTCAATATTTGCCAGTTAGATCATATTAAAAACCTGTAATTAAAATTGCTTGTTATGAGAAGCCAGAGTTGACTGTGACATGATCGACCGACAGTGTTTGCTTTCCTCCATTAGGTGGCGCCAAAGTATTACATTCGGAGCCAAGGAAACTTGTTTACTGCATAGTGAAATTCAACAGAATGTTGACGAACGGCGTGATATAAATAGGCTATTCTTTAGTGTCTACTACACGTAATATTTGAGCTCTGTAATTTTTTTTTCAGGCACCAAACCACAGAAAAGATTACATTTTGTATCTGGTGTGTTCAGGATGAGTTATATACCACTTTCTAGTAGTGAAATACAAACCAGCTGATAGCGTCACTTTCATATCGGCAGCGAGTGTGTGTGTGTGCGCGCAAAACAGAGGTGAAGTAAAAGAGCGGGCTGTTGACTGTTCTGCCTGCTGGCCTGGCCTGTGGTTCGAGAAGCACTGGCAAAGGACTCTTCACGTGTTATTCTTGGCTGCCCTGCTCAAGTGAATAGACAAGGCCGTTGCCTTATATAACAGTCTGAAGAGGCCTGGCAGGGATATGGTTTATGCACTGAAATAGAACTTTCTACGGCTTCAGCCAAGTTAAAGTGAGTCGTTCCCAGCCCAGACGGAGGGGCTGTGCCAGCACTCTCAGGCTGCGTTGAATGGAGGAAGCCCCCTGGCTGATCTGCTGGCACTGAGGATGGAAGTCCCATCATCCAGGAAACCTGCAGTTCAGTCCAATCGTTTTTTTTTTTAAAGTTCAGAAACAGACTTTTCTATTTTATACATTCCACCCCCCTTCACTACACTACTACAATACCGTCTTCCCAGGCCAAGCCCAGCCTTTGACTAACATGGGGAAACCGTATTTATACGCTAAACCACCACAGATTAACCCCATGTGAGAATGTGGGTACTAACCCTTCCAAATAATGATTGACCAGTCACCCCCTGGTGAGCCTATAAAGGTGTTTGCTAGATCGTCTTGAATCTTGAACATATGTGACAGGAATGGCTTTGAAATGGTTAGCCTTATTTGCCACACCTGGGGCAATTTGCTGCCATTAATAATTTTAAATCCAAAATTGTTCCACTCTCATCAGGTGTCCCCCAAGGCTCTCTACTAGGACCTATTTCGGTTTTAATATATTTACTCCAGTCTTATTGGCAGAAAGAGTGCCTGCTTTATTTTTTACACTGAAAATATTTGGCCTCCCATCCCTGTCTCATCTGATCCTCCATGTAGTGTCTCAATTCTGTCAAACTATAGGAGCAAAATTCAGGCCAGGTTGAGCTGATCCCAGGTAAAACACCTCTCATTTATTAAATTCCCTTCAACTTTGGAACTGTCTCAAATCATGCCCTACTATGAAAAATCTGAGCTTCTGGTTTGATTCTGAGCTCTTTTTTGATTCACAAATTCAGCATCTCTCATGATTCCCTGTGTACCAAGCAGAGCCTAACACTCTGCTGAGGTAAAAAGAGTCAAGAGGTGAGCGCTTTTAGGCACCTTACTTCACACCTCTGGAACTTGCTCCCTGCTGATTGGAGAAATGTCAACTCTTTTACAGTTTTTAAATCTAGTCTAAAGACTAGATCTGTTTACTCAGGCTTTTAATTAGTTTGCCTTTTCTCCTTTTTTTCCATTTGTTTTATTTATTTCCTCATTTAAGTTCAATAGTTATTTTGATTACTTTTTCTTTCTCCTTTTGTTTTACACATATGGCACTAGAACATATGTTATATATCATTTATAAGATGTGTTAGGCTCTTAATTATGCATTGCGTGTTACTTTTTCTTTTTTATATTTTGAGGACGTGTCTAGTACAGATACTGGAGAAGCACATTATTCCATTGATTTGGTTTGGCCGTCTCTCAGAAAGGTGTACATCTCATGGAAAAACGAGGTGAATTAGCTGGTCTCTGTTGGCTGGCTTTGCACTGGTTCCCGGGCTCAGCGTATCAGTTCAGTGCCCGTTACTGAGAAGGACCCTTCCTTTCAGTCACAGGGGCATCACATGGGGTGTGAAAAGGTAACAGTGGTATGTGTCGGGGCATCTACTTAGTGTCCATAACCGACACCCAGTTCAGCAACTCAAATCAGAGGTTGAAGAAAAGGGGAGGTCTGGGAAAGAGAAGGCTTGAATGTGGTGCTGGGAGTCCTCCCCTGTAAGTGCTGCTGTGGAAGTAAACCAGCAGGTGTGGTTTCAGACATGTGCTGCTCACTGTGACAGTATGGCCTTCTCTTTTCCTGCAGATCACCGGAGCGATTCTCCTAGCTGTAGGAGTGTGGGGAAAGCTCACCTTAGGCACATACATCTCCCTCATCGCCGAGAACTCCACCAACGCCCCCTATGTCCTCATCGGCACGGGAACCACCATCATCGTCTTCGGCCTCTTCGGGTGCTTCGCCACATGCCGCGGAAGCCCATGGATGCTGAAACTGGTGAGAGAGAGAAAAACAAATCGCACAGACAGCTCCCTGGATTCTCTTTGTATTGTCTGATATAACAGAACCTGGATGTTCCTGTTCCTCTCAGAAGTTATTTGCTTAAAGATCACAGGAGTAAAGGGTGCGTCTCTGCTAAACACTCGGAGGTCTGAGGCAGTGTCAGTTGTTGAGTTTACAGAGTGTCAGGGGTCGTCGTCATGGTTCCCCCTTTCTCTTTTGTGTGATTTTTTAAAATTATATATAATCTTTATATATTACCTGTGAGGCTTTACATGGCCTGGCATCTCAGTACCTGTCTGATTGTCTTCCTACTTCCCACTTTGCAACCTTTGTTTGCCTAATTCTGGTCTCTTGTCTGTCCCCCAAACCCATCTACACTCTATGGGTGACACAGCCTTCTCCTGCTGCGCTCCAGAGCTCTGGAATTCTATCCCAAAGGATATCAGAGAGTTACTTTCCCTGAGCACTTTCAAACCAAGACTCAAAAGCCTCTACTTTAGAAAGGGCTTTTATTTAATTGGTTCTAATTTTAACTACGTAATTCTGCCGTCTCCTCTCATTGCGTGCTTTCTTTCTTACTGTAAAGTGCTTTATGAAAGCCAATTTTAAAAACACTATCTAAAATAAAAGGCCTGACAGCCCCCTGGCCAGCGAATCCCCCCCTTCCCACCATGGTGCTCAGCCTCTTGTTCGCTACCCCCTTGAGAAATCTGGGTCACGGTTCACTCAGGAGCCCCTCAGCTTTATTGTTGTGAAATTGCAGTGTGTGATAGACATTGTGTTGTCAAAGTGTCGACTGCCCAACCATTGCAGGTGGTTTCCTCTCATACTGCCCTCTGGTGGAGAGTTTGTCATTTTAGAGGTTCTGTCCTCATACACAGACAAAGGTATTCTGCCTTTCCTGGATGGAAGATTCTTTTTTTAAAACAAAAAAAAGTCCTTTCTATAAGAACTCCCACTTTTAAATATAAAACTAAACTCAATTCTAAAGATTTTATCCATATTTGCAGTTGTCTTAAATTGACTGTAGAACTGTAGGATCCATCTGCATCCATCAGAAGTGCTGTTATATTAAGTTCACATTGTAAGAATGCTGATTTTACATGCCTATAGGGAAAAGTTCTCCCAGACCCCTGAAAATGAAAAACTCCTAATTTAATTGGCGTAAGATTAAACCATATGACCTCATTAACACCATTAAACTGTATGACACCTGGGTTTGTCCTTATTATGATTACCGGGCTACTGAGCCTCCATGATTATCCAGTGGGTGACTTCGTACGAGTGGAGTCGTAGCGCTGAGCAGTAAGAGGCCAGCATATGAATTCCGCGGTGCCAGCACGGTCTCCTGGCCCGCACTTGCAAACAGACAAAAAGAAGTGTGCTCATTTTTCCCCAGCTGATTAGCATCTAAGTCAATAGACGCGCACCAGACCCAGGCAGAAGTGTGAAGCTGCCAGCAGCTGTCATATGTGAGCAATGCAAGTTGTTGTTTTTTGTCAGGGGTGCTATTAACATGTCACAAGCACTTACTCCTCAGCCGGCGTTCCCATTATCCAGCATTGTCAAGACGCTGAAGGAACAGTAACTGTGCTTCATGCAACTGCAGGGGAATTAAATATTGTTTGACACTAACAAACCCAGAGCTGTTACTGAGTCTCGAGGATCGTCGGCACAGTTGCCCCTTTCTCTTTTTTTCCCCCCTTAAATTGGAGGCTTCTGGCATTTTAATGCGGCAGTGTGATATCTGCAAGAAAGAAGCCGTCACCTGTGCCCGACAGATAACAGTGGTTGGCCTTTTATTCTACCTGCTGTAGTCAGGTACATTTTCCTCCACCTCCGTGTGCTCGGAGGTCTGGCTGCTCCCATCGTCGGCTGTCACACCGTCATGCGGGCTGCGAAGATAAACGATCGAGCTTCAGGCTCGGTCTTGTGAAGTGTACCTTCTGAAAAAAACATCAGAAGAAATTGCACTTCAGGAAATTGTGAAGCAGAGGCAAAACATCCGCTCCATGTGTTTATGAGCTTGCCACTTTTAGCTGTTCAGCTGATGAAGAGTCCTCTTAAAGGTTTCTTTCATAGCCTAAGTGCATCAGCAGAGGACTGTCCTTGCAAACTCAGCTCGGGCTCAGATATTGATCTGTAGAGCAGTGTCTCTCAATCCTTGTCCTAGAGTTACTCCCGTGTCTTCTGGCTTCCGTTCAGCTTGAGCTCTTAATTAGTGAAAAATTATTGATCCCTTAATTGGACTAATTAATTGATCTTTAACAGTTTTCTACACTCAGGAGTCAGACATCCCCCAGTATTTGTATGATTTCTGAGAACTGTAGTAAACTCGTTTTCAACTTCAAATTTTTGTTCCCCTGTAACTCTATAAAACTCCCTTTTCATTTAGCCAATCGGGATGTTCAAACTCGGGTGGGAATGTCACAGACACGTTAGTGGTTTTAGTGTTGCACAGGCGCCTTGGTTAAATCCAACCAAGTCACTGAAGCAATAAACCTGAGTCACAGATCAGAAAACCACCATCACGCTTTGTGATGTCTGATCTCTTCATGCTGTTTTAAGAACTGAAAGTGATTTTAAAAATCAAAGCAAACTGTTTGATGAGCCAAATGAAGTCAAAGAGGACACCGTGGAACTTCAGGAGCAGGATTGGAAAGCACTGCTGTGAAAGCAGCTGAAAAGAAATGAATGTGATTAGTGGCAAAGAGGTGCTTCTGAACCCCTGGGGGCGCTCGTCACACCAAGAAGGCTTGCTTTTAAGGGACCAGAAAAAGAGACAGAACTGTCCCTGGCAGGTGGTTTTTAATATTGCATTGGCGGCTGTTCTTTGAAATCTAATTTTATTCATTTAGAATAAATGCTATCCACACACTTCTCACTGTGCTGAGACAGAAGCTGCTATGACTGTGATGTGCTGTAGAGCTGAACCCTGTTCAGCACAATGCCCTCTCTTTTTTCTAACCTGTCTACATCGTGTTGCTGCTTGTCTTTCTCTTGGCAGTATGCCATGTTCCTGTCTCTGGTGTTCCTGGCAGAGCTGGTCGCAGGCATCTCTGGATTTGTGTTCCGGCACGAAGTAGGTATCTCGGCCTGCAATCCCACAGTGCATCAGCTGAAAACGGGACTGGTGGAACAGGACTGGTCCGGTTAGCGTACAGGATTACCTCTCAGCCATCTCCTTTGCTAACACAAACAAGTGCCAAGTTAACAGGACACACGCTTTTACAAACACTTGTTTTGATACACTGTTTAACCTTGTCGTGTTCAGATTAATTTTTCCCATAAGTCATCTTGTGACGACTGTGTCTTTGGCAAAATAAATGATGAAGTCCATCACCAAAGAGAAATGCCTCCGAAGGCTGGAGATTTCGTTGAAGCTGTCCGGTTTAACAAGCCGTGAGAAATTAGTAGAAGCGATTGCCGACAAGTGACGCACTGTGTCCTTTGCCCATTTTCCAGTGGCGAGAGATAAGAAGGTGGAAATGTGGATGACTGGCAGGGAGCCGGCTATAGTTTAAGCATGGGTGAGGGGGCTTCCAATGAGTTCCGGGAGATGAGACGATTGTGCTTTTGATTTCTTCCTCAGATCAAAGGCACGTTTCTGAGGACGTACAATGACGCAGTGCGAAACTACAATTCGAAGGATGACCGCAGCCAAGCAGTAGATGATGTGCAGCACAGTGTAAGTCTGGGGGTGGGCTGGGGTCCCTCATTTAGGCCCTGATGCCTGATTATGATACACGAGATCTCTATTTGTTTACGTGCAGATTTTCTGTGCCCATTTAGTGAATATAAAACATTTATCATACTCCGATCTTATTGCTTTTTTTTAAATTGTTCTCCAAATATTTGTGTATTTAAAATATGACTGTATTGAATATTTCTAAGCATACATAGTATTATATGGGTATCCTGTTTTATTTCTTGAGTGGGATTTGGGCCTGTGAAGAGGGCCTCTGCTGGAGTAAGCAGAGCGAAGCTGGGGTGTCCGCAGTCCTCCAGTCTTGGCCCTGTGTGAAACGGCGGTTTTGTCTTCTCCCCAGCTGCGCTGCTGTGGCGTGCAGAACTACACCAGCTGGTTCACCAGCAGCTACTTCCCTGAGAACGGGATCCCGCCCAGCTGCTGTGCCAACGCCTCTGATTGCAGCCCCCAGGACCTACGCAACACCACCATCGTCCCCAGCAAGGTCTACCAACAGGTCAGCCCCCACCCACTGTGTCCCTCCTTGAGCAGCTGTGTTAGGAAATTGAATGTGGTTGTTACTAGTCCTTCCACTGGCTGAAAAAGGACCTATGTCCTTGCTGCTGCTTTTAGCTGACTCCCCAAGTGGCTCAGAAGGTAATATTCCGTCACTCATGTGGCACAGGTATCTCATGTTTGAGCCTGGGGCCTGTCACTAGTCAACTGTGAGCACAGCGCCCCTAGTGGCAGGGTGGGACAGGGTTGGATTAGTCAGCCACGAGCTCTCCCAGCTCCCAGCAACCCCTGGCAGTGGGCAGTACTGTCAGTGGGAGATGCGCCTCTTCTCCAGTCAGCGCTGAACCTTCTGCACGGGGCTGTGTTCCTCATTATCCCCCGTGTGCAGCTGCAGGGGTCATAGCTGTGAGCCAGGACTTCATAAACATGCAACCAGCAATTTCAAAGCACAAACAACAAATAATTGGCTGTTCTTAAATCTAAAAAAAGACCAGGCTTTTCCTTTTCAGCTTTTAAGGTGTTGTTTGTACTATTTTGATACATGCTAAAAACTAAAAAATCTTACTCTCTTGCTGAAATACTGTACTTAATCTATGTCTTCACTGGGGAAAGGAAAAAAAGGCTTAGGGAATGGGATTCTGCATGGAGTACTCTTAAGCAGTGGTCTTTACTGCAGGTCTTCAGATATCTCTTCAGGGCTGAGAAACTACTTCGTTAGAGCCAGTAATCAGCTTTAAACGACATTATAAAATCCAGGTCCCATCCCGCTCTTAAAGCTTGAAAACTACCTTAACGTTACCTGTAACACTAAGTCCTCTGGTATTTCTCCCGTCCTTAATCCTCACTAAAACAGAGAGCTAAACTGAAACCTAACTCTACTGCTGTCCCTAAGCTTACACCTGTATGTGCCAAGAGTACTCTTCCTAAATTCTTTCCCCACCTTGCACATTCCTCTAACATTATATATCAACACTTCAATCCATAACAAAAACCCTGCAGCCATGCTCAACCTTAGCTCCAACCCAAAACCTGGAATCTGCAGCTGCAGAGCCTGACTCTTAACACTGAATGCACCTAAACGTTGCCTTGGCCTCCACTCTAACCTTACCAGTAGCACACACCCGAAGGACACTCCTGGCCCATGGGTTGCCTCTATCCCTTCTATCAAACCACACCAGCCTGCTTGAAGCCTGATTCTTAATGGCTTCATCTCTCAGTGAACAGACACCAGTGGTTTTTATCATACAAAGGACTTCATTCTGTTTTCAGGGCTGCTATGAGCTGGTAACCAGCTTTATGGAGACCAACATGGGCATCATTGCAGGGGTCGCCTTTGGGATTGCGTTTTCACAGGTGAGCTGATCCAGCCTTTGCATTCTCACGGTGATTTCTGCTGGGTTGGACTGTTTCTCCAAGGAGAAACTTGTCTAGAGTTCCACATTGAACGTGAAAGCTTTCAGACACAGACCATGTGACTCATCTTGTTAAATTGGTTACAGGAAGCTGAATCTTCCAAGATCCTCATCCAGCTGCCTTGCGAGGGATCCTAACAAACCAGCTTCGACAGCTTGGTTAGGTCATTTGTTCCAATATCCAACATCTGTTTCTATGAAGAATTACCTCCCGTGTGCCGTCCTAAATAAATTGCACTTGACTTTCATTTGTACCCTCAGGCCACAACTGCCTTACTGAGCTCAAAGTAGCTGTTTGGGTTCACTGTGTCAATTCAGTTCAGGTTACTGAAAACACAAGTCAGATCTCTGCAGATTCTTTTCCAGGCTTTGGAAAGAGCAGAATAAAAGCAGAATAAAAAGACTAAAATGTCCACACACCAAGGGTTTCACATTTTAGTCCATGTATTCTGCTTTTTCCAATACGCCAGTGTGTTTTTTAAATTGTACAGTTCTAACCACAAATGAGCACTCTGTTTTTAATGTTGTTGTATGAACGACAACAGACCGGAGCCATAGTGAACAGTGACAGTAGACAGGAGCTCCAATGATTTGTGAAAGATCCAGGTTATTTGCCAGCATGTTGGTCACATGAGCAATGAATCGACTGTCTCAGACTGTCAGGGAGTATGCCTGCCTAATGAAGAATGGGTGCTTCGTTAAGCTCTGAACTGATTGGAGTGGTAATTAGAGACGTTTTGTGTTTATTTCAACCTTTGGTACATGGTTGTAGTTTTTCCGTCCTTTTCTTCACGCTTGCCTTTATGTGGGTAACTCCACATCGGCCTTCGCCACCCTTAAAAGCCCATACATCATTTTCCCATTTTTGGAGTTTACAAAAAAATGCTAATTTAATTTGCTGCCTGCCCAACACACCTCCTGGTCAGCCTGTAAGACTGTTAGACAGAAGCCTGATGAGAACCCGTCTTAAAAACCTCCTTCTTCACTGCTCTCACTCTGCGCAGTTGTAGCAAAATAGTAGCTGACTGTTCAAAACTGATGAACTGAGTAAAGCCCATTTTAAAACAAGAAAAGTAACCAGGGATTGTTTACTCATGTTGATTCTGAAGAGACCAGCAGCCATCGAATGACCTCAGGCTTGAGTGCAGATGTCTATCTGAACTGCTGTGTTGTGTTAAGACATGATTGCACTACACTGCAGTGATTTTTTTTCCCCTGTCTTGTTGTGATCCGCCCCTCGTGCCTTAAGGAAATGCAACTTATTTTCCTCCTCCAAGCAAGGAGGGTCCAAAAATACTTGTCTTCTTTAAAACAAAAGCCCAATTTGAGATGTAACATGCCATACAATTTGTATTCAACAGACACTCATGGTCGCATTCACGAAAAGAAAACCAGTCTTTATTGTTCTGTTTTACTCTTTCTTGTACTCATGATCCTGGTTGAGGAAAACAGAAATTTTAAAGGTGGGAAAAAAAACAACAACAGACACTTTCTGTATATTTAGTAACATTGCTTAAAAAGGGAACATTCCCAGTTGTTCAAAAGCCTAGCAACCTGACACTTTAGATATATCAATCACTTACAATCATGTCAGGTTTTTTATTTTAGACTATGTGATGAACTGACAACCTAGCCACAATTCACAGAAAAAAACTCCAGAATTTTACGCAAAACTGTTTGTTTGAAAAGAAAATGAGATAAAACTACCAGCTCAAAATACATCACCCCTCCACCAGTCTCATCACTTCCTTCCTTTAATCAGCTGCCTTAAACCAACACCAATATAAAATGAAAGTGGTCGCTAACCTCCTGCTCAGTTAAACATGCCCAATTAAGCTCCACAGTCCTCAGCCTTCTTATTGCAGCTAATGGGAATGCCAAGCAGTTAACCATCATGTGACCCACGCGCAGGCCAGCGTTTTCACTCCATGGACTATTAATTGAACTGTAAATGTTATCGGGAATAAAAGGCAGGGGAAATCAATGGCACCTATTAAAGCCAGCTCCATCCTAATGTGCTTAATCCCTCTGTGCGCCCTGACAGGCTCATCCTCGGCTGTGATTTCAGCGCAGGAAGACTCGCGCTTCTCTCAGAGCTGCTTCGCTTCAGATTTTCGTCCTTTCTCTTTTAATTAAAAAGGATGCATATCTCTCGGAAAATAAACATCTCTGCTCGCTGTGCGTCTCTGCTGGTGCAGTGCAATTAACCAGTTCCTGAAAAGGAAGGAGACGGAAATAACAAAGGGAGGAATTTAAGTGGCGAGAGAGGGAAAAAAAAATCAAAAGATTGGGATGCTTATTAGCACGATTGCTTTGTAAATATTAGAGGTCTGACTCTAGTGATGGATCTGTCATTTTTGAAGATGAAACTGTTGGTAATTAACAATACCACGTTTTCCTCAGCACATGTGGGTTTTTCTGTTTTCTGTAACTTGTGTGATTCATGAACGGCCTTAAAATCTGTGATATGCAGCGTCATTGTCTGGCTCTCTGGGGTTTCAATGAAAAAGCACAGTTTTCGAAGAGCCCTGAGAAATTCAACCATGTGACGTCAACAGGAGTATCGCCGGCGAGCTGTTTGTTTTAATTTGCTTGTGT